ACCTCTTATTTTACAATTTCCAGATAACACATTACCAATAATTTTGTTTTTCATCAGAAGTAGCCATGTGGACTCCCAGCAGGCGATTTTAATATCACTCTTTTATGTATAAACGAATGTGTATGTTGGCGGGTAAAAGTGATATTATTATTATTTTTTTTTTTTTTTGGTACCGGAGGAGATTGAACTCAGGGATACTCGACCACTAAGCCACATGCCCAGCCTTATTTTGTATTTTATTTAGAGACAGGGTCTCACTGAGTTGCTTATTGCCTCGCTATGGCTAAGGCTGGCTCTTGAACTTGCCATATTCTTGCCTCACTCAGTCTTCCGAGCTGCTGGGATTACAGGCCTGTGTCTCCATGCCCTGCAAAAGTGAGATTCTTTTTATGCACTTCCCACCTTGGGAAGCAGGAGTTAAGTGCTTCAATAGGGAAAACAGTTTTTATTCTACAGTTTACAGATTCTTGGAGTTTAGTGTTGAGGCTTGTGTCACCCTTCTGGAAAGTGGTGAAAAACTTGGGACTAACATTTCTAAATATTGCCTTTTCCCCTTTGACTAACAAGTTGGAGTCCTTGCACTCTTAGGTGACTTTTCACCACATCACCCAGCACCGGACCTGTGAGGAAGGGGGGGGTGGGAAGTACAGGTCATATACATCTGGATATCAAGAATATAGATCACCATTTCCCAAGGCATGTTCCTGAAACCTTATCCACAGATAATATTTCAAAATAGGTAGTATTTGAGGACTTTTTAAAAAGTCAAAATTATATGTTGTATCATGTTTGCATAAATATACATAGCACATATTAACAATATTAATGGCTCTGAGATGTTCCCAATTTAAAAACTTAAAACCTTGTTTTATCTAGTATTTTTCAAATTTGTCCACAGCATACTTTCATCTTTTTTTTCTCAAAATATCTATCACACAGTGATCTAGTGTATTAGTGTTTCTTGGAATATGCTTAGGAAAACACATAGATCACTTAGAGTGCTGGTTCTTTGTGAGGAGAGGAAACGATTTTGTCTTCTGGGGAATTCTCAGAAAATTTCTGAAGGCATTTTTGGTTAAGTAGGGGATGTTACTGGCAGGTAGTGGGTAAAATCTATGGATGGTCCTAAACATCCTGCAATTCATGGGACAACCCATCTCCATGATGAAAAAGAATTATCTATCTTCGAATGCCAACAGTGCCTTGGTTGAGAGAACCTAATCCAGGTACAGCTGGATTAGGGACTTAGGTGATCTAGAATCTCTGGATTGGCAGCTAGCACTCTTCATTCACCAGATAGTCATGTGATTTTTGTCATGCAGATTTCCTTATTAACTTATAGGTTCCAATATGACTTATTAATATAGAATATTAATAATGAATATTCTAAAATGAATACATTGATATTTTCTGGGTACACTACTGGAAAGCTGTTAGGCATGTTTAGTAGTCATGTCTACTCTGTTCTTTGCAGTTTTCTATGATACATATATATTGTGTAGTATCAATTCACAATATTTAAGAATTATCAAAAACATACATTCTTATATGGTCAATAGATGCAACACACTCTTCTAAACTTTATGGTTCATATAATTTCAGCAATCAGTAATCTCAAATACTAGTTATATTACTACTTTTCTTTTTAAAGATAAGGAACTCAGTCTCAGAGATGTTAATCAACTGCTAATTTGGATAGGCTGAGACAGAAATCCAAATCCCCAAAATCTCCAGGCCAGTCCTCTTTTCATTATTATGGTATGATGCTGAATCCATTTTTTCATACATAATTTTGCATGTGGCATGAAAGAGTAATTTTAATGCCATAAATATTCATGAATTTTATTTGTATTTCCCAACTGTCTGTGTTTATTCTAAACTCTTAATTTGAGGCTGCAAATGGATAAAGATTTTTATCGAATGTTAGGAGAAAGTATTCTCAGCAGTTTTTTTCTTAACATAATCTTTCTTGTCAGTCACAGATATATTTAACCAAATCAGAAATAGCGACACATGATAGGAAAATCATCAAGTGCAAAGCAATCATTTCCTTTAAATATTAAGTTTCCATATCAGAGCAAATAAAGATGCAGGAAATGGTGATTGTGTTTAAACACCAGTGTATATGTTGTAATGATTTTTTTGTTTGTTTAAATCAAGCAGTGAGATGAAGAACAAATTACAAATTAAGTATAAATCTGGGTGGGTTTAGATTCAATTCTAGATTCTGACTTTATCCTTTTCATTAAACGAATTCTCAGAAGTTTACCTCTTCAGAAAAAATGTGTTGGTGTAAAGAGTTGAGCTAAATGATTTCTCGTTGTTGGATATCTAAATTTAAACTCCACAAATTCCTTTGTACTTTGAAAACTCAGAGATAGATTATAGGTCTATTTCAGTAGAATACTAAATAGGACCCCAAATAACTTGAATGTGATAACAATGTTTTTATTATAGAAGATTGCTAAGCTATAAGAAACAACTGAAATGTAAAGATTTGTAACCTCTCATGAAGACAAGGGAGCTTTGTAATGGTTATACCCAATCCTCTATCACTTTTTTCCAACTCTTATCATTCACTAAGCAGAAATAAGAGCATGTTTCATGTCCACCATGATTTTGATCAATCCTCAAAAGGGGCAGCCATAAAATAATGCTGACCATAGTTACTACTGGATGATCTAAATATATTCTGAACTCGTCTTTCAAGGTATGTAAATGGAAGTTCATCATTTAATATTAGCAGCAGTGACAAATAGCCCACTCCATGATAACCAAAATTCAAAAGCACAATAAAATCAGAGGAGTCACACTGTTTATGGGAATATTTGTTTAACTTCAGGCAATCTAGTCATTCTTATGTACATGGTATGAGAATAACATACCATTTATGTTATTTTCATGATCCTCTGCACATCATGGATTCTACCCCAACACATGAATGATGCATTTACATAACTTAATCATAACTAGAAAGAATTTCCCACACTGCTCCATGATATTCATATATTCTTCACCAAAAACAATTTGGCTACAGCTATAGTTATGATATTGTAATAATCATCTTAAACCCTGTTACTTTAAGTCAATCAAGTCAGGATCTGTTTGCAAAATATAATCAAATGTAATTTCATGATTCAGTAAATTGTATGTAAGTCTGCTATCATTGGTTTTCATTTTCTTTTCAATACTACTATTTCCATTTTTTCCACTGGTAGCTATTCTGACTATTCAAATGTCATTATTGCCTTCTATTGTTATTCAAATGGAGCTGTTTTATTAGATCCTCCAACTCCACATAGAAGGCTTTGCTTCTTCAACAGTAATATTTCTGAAGGAAAATGGAAGTGAATGCACACAAAATTCTGAGCTCTTACTTTATGTTAGGCTAACTCCATGCCTGAAATAGGATTTTAATTTAATCATATCTGAGAAAGCCAAAAGGTTTTTATTAGCTACCTCAAGAAAACAGGAAAAATAGCCTTTTTCATGCAGGTTTTTATTTAGTTCAAAGAGCCCATGAAACCATTACTGTTCCACAATGATATATTTAAGAAACACTTCCTGACCAAATTAAACTCTAAATTTCTTTGATCAGATAGCAGTCATCATTTTTGTATATTCTTCTCTTGAAAGATAGGATAAATAAAATATTCTATACAAGTATTTGAAATATAGTATTAAATACCAGTTGCATATCAGTTTAAAAATATGCTTTCTAATAGATCCATGGAGAATATAATTAAAAAGGCACACAACCATAAATGCATAGTTGTAGATTTTATTAGGACACTGGATCACAAAAGAAAATTATCAAAACTAGGTTATGGTTCTCAAACAAATCCAGCAAATATTGTATTAGTTAAATATAAAAATAACTGTCCCTGTTATTGGGGCAAACTTAACAACTGAACTTCTGTTGTATTCTACCAGCAGTTTTTCTATATATACAAAAAGAATATTTTCTATTACTATGATCAGAGATCTGTTCTCCAGTAGGTAAACCATGTGAACAGAATGAATTAAAATATATAGTGCTTTACTAGAACTACTTAGGAAAGATGAATGAAGAGGGAATAACCTACTTGGAGTTCAGTGGTGATGGAGTTGGATGAGGTTTGGTAAGAAAGTCTCGGGGTTATTATATACTTATCTACCATCTCAGAATACAGAGAAAGCTCTCCCCTTCAAGAGGTTAGAGGCTTGCTGACCCTTCGCCAGACTAAGGTAATTTCATGAAAAATTTCTAGTATCATGTGCAGCATCATATAATTAAGCATTAGCATATTTCAAAAATCAAGAGTTATAGAAGCTTAAAATAGGAAAATCAAATTTCATAATAGTACTCATAGACAACAAGACTCTAAAATAAGGTCCCTAAAGAGCTAAATAATGACACGTCAAACATCTTTGCCAGTGTATTCCCAAGAGATGTCATGGAATGTATACACAACTTGGGAATGTGACTCCTATTTTATTAATTTCTATTTCTGACATGGCTTCCTTACCTAGAGTCAGAACCCACCAAGTAAAACTAAAACTAAATATCAGAGAACTGCACAACTGTTCTCCCAAAATATTCCCCTTTAAGACGAAAAGAAGCAGAACTTTTAAGCAGACATTTTTTTACCTTTCAGAGAAAATCTTTCAGTAGTTTAGTATCAGAGAATCTGTGTTCTATTTCCCACCACATTGTAAGTTTGCCATGCAGCCCTGGGAAATACCTTTAATTCCTTGACTTTGACAAGTTTCAGGATTCCCACCATCCTTCTTGCACGGTGCACATCTGACTCAAGGATGGCTTTTGGTGTTGTTTCTTTACTTTAACTAAAGAAATCACATTCTTTAAGTAGCCTCTGACTATTCTTATACACAAAGGTGCCTCTGGCACCAATTGGAAGAAAATTCCTTTTTCCAACTCCTGACCCATGGTCAATTTCAAAGCTATAGAGACAACTACCTGAACAAACAAGGAAGACAAGAACATGAATTCTACTCACCTCCAGAGACTTCTGTGTTGCTCCTCCAATTGAGTTAGCAGATGCTCAATGTATTTATTAGAGTCCATGTATTCCTGCATCAACAGAACAAGACAAAACCCCATTACAATAGTCAGATTCTAAGACTCTATCCCTATTGCTATAAGGAATATTTTCAACAAGATAAGCCCTTGGACCCTCATCAGTCTCAGAGTCTTTGATTCCATGATTTGTAAACATAGTCATTTGAAGATGAATACTATTTTCCCTTTATTATCATGTGCTAATTTTAATAAAAAAATTTCTGTAGAAAATAAAGTTTTACTGAATCATCCTAAAAACCCTTCTATTTGCCTAAAAAAAGCCTTTATTTCATATTATGTACACTGGAGCCCATGTGATCTACCATATAAAAGTAAATGAGCCAATGTGTTGCTGTTAACCTTTAAAGAATATGAATAAAGTAGAAAATACAGGACTTAATTTTTCTGGTTTGATAATCATCATTTTTAGGTAAAATTCATTTTTAAACTACATAGGATGCTTCATATATGTATCTCATTCACTGTGTGTTCATGTACATGTACGGACAAGGCCACATTCTTTCATCTCCTTATAAATACAAGAAATAGAGTTTGTTTCTTTTCAGCCTTAGAAGATAAATCTTTGGCTTATAAGAAATTATAAAAGGTACAGTATATCTTATTCTATAGAAATGTGTATGTGAACTCACTTGTGTAAATCTAACCCTATTTTCAAGAAAAATGTCTGAAAATTAAGAATTATGTTTTTTTACATGAGAATCCTACAGGAAAATCCATAGGTTATTACAACTGATGTTTTAAGTTTGTGGCTTCTGAAATATGAGGTTCACATATAATAGAGGTCCAGTTGATAACTTGGAGCAAATACAATGTGTAAAACGTCTCATGATATTGTTTCATTCTGATTCTGCTACTTCTTCCCCTTTCTGTTTGGAGATCCTTCCCACAGGCCTCTGCTTCTACACAACAGCTACCTACAATGGACCAATGGGGGGACATTAATCTCCCTCAAAACCTACTGTTTCCTGGGATACAAAATAAACTGGTAGCTTTGATTAATATTGATATTTTTACTTCTGAAATACCTTTTTATACATAATCTATTATTCTATAGGAATATCAGTATAATAAGGGGGAAAAGGTGTTATGGTGAGATCTGATAGAATGGAAAAGGCCTAGTTTTGAATTTCTGATCCTGGTTCTAAAAGAACCTTTTCCTTTCTAAATAATCTAAGTATACTAAGTATAATACATTTCAGTGCATACTAAATTATTGTCTAGGTTAAAAAAAAAAAACTTACACTTCCAAGACATTATTATTCTGCTGCAGATAATTAGCTGAAGTGTTTTATGTCTAATAAATAAACATTCATTTTCAGGTAACTATTGAAGAGTTAGTTAAATAAAACTACTATTCAGCATGTTAGAACCAAAGCAGAAGTTCCAACATATATGGTTATGGTTTTATGTGTGCTAATCAAGGCCGAAACACGATTTAGAATGCTCAGCATTACCAATGACTAATTATTAAGTATTTTCAGTTGAAAAGATTATTAAGACATTTTTACCAAATGGAATCAAATTTCAAATTCATTTACCCGTTTTTCATTCAACAATTTTCATCATTTATGATGTGCCAAGGGCTATTCTAAGTTCTATAGATACAGTACTAAGAGAGAAAAAACCACTCCCTGGAAGAGTGTGTACTTTTGAAAAGGGAGACAAGCAAATAAATGAACAGTTAATTTCAGATCAGGTACATGCTATGAGAGAAGTCAACAGATTATAAGGAATACTTGAAATGGGAGGAAAAGCTATTTCACGTGAAGTCACTTTTGGAAAACTGAGCACAAATAAGTCTGTTATCAGCTAAGACTTGCTAGAGAAGGTTGAAACCATATAGGGAAAAGCCTCCTGAACATTGCAAACAAAGGATTCAGTATATTCAAAGATCTCAAACGTGCCATTTGAAGATCGGAAAAATCCCAGTGTGTGGCTAGGAATAGGAATACGAAGGGCAGAGTCCAAACAAAGTTGGAGTTAGGCAGAAACAAAATCATGCACAGTTTGAACTAAAACCAATGCATGTGTTGTTAATTCTGATTAGCTCAAGTCAGAGGTTGAATCTGAAAAACATAGTGATGACAAATATGTCCTTTGACTCAAAAGAGATTTAGGCTCAATCCTGGTTTGATCTTACTAGCTATATTCCCCTGGGAAAATTTGTTAAGCTTTCTAATCTTAATTTCTTCATCTTTATCAGAGGGATAAATCAGACTTGAGCTATGAAGGTGTTATAAGGGTAAAATTGTGTTAAATATATATCATCATGCCTGCCAAATAATATGCATAGCTTTTAGCAGGAATTTATTTATTTTGCACATTTTTATTGGTACATTACATTGTGTGCATGTAAAAATATGTAACAACAAATCCCGTCGATATGTACAACTATGCACAGCTTTTTACAAATAACTATACATCTCTTCTCAGAAGAGCAGTCACTTTACAAGACGAGGGTATTGTTTATTTTTCTTCTTTTACCAAACTTCAAGAATTTTAAGTGTACAGCTTCTCTGAAGAAGCTGCATCTGTATTAAAGATCCTGCAGACTGACCTTGGCTGACTAATAAAATTGCAACTATGGAAACAAGGAATGTTGTAGGTCAAGGGCCAAAATTATCCTTGGACTATCTCAGGCCTTTTAATAGCCATTCACCTTAACTTTTGTATGTGACTTAACATCTTGTGACTATTAGAGTAAAAAAAAAAATCTCAGGATATATTCCTAAGCTTAGGAAGCCTGTATTGTGCACCAGCCTTAGAGCCAAGAATGCTGTAGGTAACATCTGAAAGCCATGGGACAGATGGCCCCCACTTTGCTACAGTTCACCTACCTGCTGCCCTACTAATGTATTTGGTGAATGTTCTGGTTTATGTTTTTCTTTTGTTTTGTGACTATAAAAATTCATGTATCCTCTTCTACTGTTCAAAATGGCACTTTGGGTAACTTGAATACACGTTCCTGCTTGTATTTGACTCAGAGTAAACTATTTTCTTACTTCCTGAGAAACGCAGTTACTCTTTCACATCAAGTTGACTAATCCTTCTTCCATTACTAATTTATATGGCGCTAAGTTCATATGTGTACCATTTGGTTGGTGAAAACTAAGCCTCCTATAATCTAGAAAAGAAAACTCATCTACAATCTTCCTGGTGTCATTGTACAGTATTTGCAACACATTATCTATAAAAACTTTCATAGATAATGTTTCCCAAGTCTTGTTTTGCCTTGTTATGTCAAATAATACAGATTTCCGATCATTAAATATAGTTGTCACCAGATTGCATTCTAAAAGCTATTTCAAATAACAATATAAGCTGATTCTGTTTAAACTGGCTTTATCCAGTTTTTCATAAAAATAACTATGAAGACAAATCTTAAAAACACTTAATAATGGGAAAGTAAGATTATGGATTCTCCATTCCCCATTGTAGTTTTCTTTTCATCTGTAGCACTCCTATTTCTAACACCTAGTATAGTTTACCTGTTTAAATATTTGGGTATAGCTTATTACCTGCCCCTTCTACCCACCTACACACATAAGGCTAACAGATATGAAAAGGGGAAAAAAGATGATGTTCACGTGTACTTTTTGCTACGTGAAACCATTCCTCCCCCACCTAAAAGAATTTAGGATTTCCCCTGATATGTTTACTATTTCTGGTCCCTGAATTATAAAAGTTAGATAACTCATGAGAAATCCTTTTCATTCTATAAGATTATGACAGGAGTACTCCCAGTGGGAATTTTGTCCATCTATTTGGAGATTAACTCCAAGAAAAATAATGGTGGGGTGGCACTAGGGCAGGCAATGGTGTACCCTGGGGCTCTAGTCACACTAAGTAAAATGCTTAGGGCTCAGTGGCTACTACTAGAACTTTGGTACCAAGTACCTACTGAAGAATAGACTCCAACATTCCAGAATATCAAAAGCACAGGGAGGTAAGAGTGCTGGACCAATCATTTCAGAACAAATAGAAAAGTCACAACACAGAACCATGAAAACTAACAAAGGATAAGAGAAAGATCATCACTCTCAGTCACAAGAAAGGGTGTGAGTCAGACAACCATTGACAAGAAAATATAAAAGTTTTTTTTGTTGTTGTTGTTGTTTTAGAAAGACCCTTCACATGTTTATTAGTGTCTAGAAAGACATGGTCTCTCTGACATGTGCAGAAAGTTTTTAAAAATACCGAGATGGGCAGAATTAGATTTAAGATTACTGGAATGAGCAGCAAAGATAACAAAATGAAACAAAATTTAGAGGGAGCAGGGTGGGCTAAGAATTAAGGAAACAAACTGTGGTAACATAATTGAAATCTGCTTCTTATTTTTATTATGAGATGACTCTCCCCACCACAAAGTGATGCTTTAGACACGTATAGGCAATGGGTTTTGGCTTATTGATACTGAAATTTTCACTTTGAATAAAGTCTACTTCCCAGTATCTCATTTGGAAACAAATCAAACTCCCAACCAAGACCAGATCAAGTACATATTCACTAACCTTCCATTACTAATTTCTATGCAATAAGTTAGCATGTGCATAACTCAGTCAGTGAAAACTAAGTCTCCTATAATCTAGAAATTTTAAAAAATGATCTACATTTTTTCTATTGTCATTATATATTATTTGCAACATATCATCGATGAAAAATGTCAGTTTCCCAAGGCTTGCTTTGCCTAACTCTCTCTCTCTCTCTCAGAGCACAAACTTTATTAATGTTACTGTTACTAACTTGAGGAATATATTTTTCTATTGACTTTCCTGAAAATTACAAAACTCTCATTAGATAGGAGTAGGAGAGTCAACAATGATGACACACAATTCTGTGCAAAATAAACATTATACTACTAAATCAAGAAATAAAGTATAAAGATGAAAATGAATAGAGATGACCAATGAAAGAGCAGAAAATACAGGCTTGCTTAACAATCACACCTTTTGAGTATTTAGTAAAATTTATAATGTAAACAGATAATTAAC